TTTGTTCTCCAGACTTGCCTATGGTTCACCATAGTTTGCATGACCTGAATTGCAATTCCTCTACTATTCCTGAATATACTCTTTTTCCTGGTAGAATAACTGGATATTTTGTTTTTACATTTGACAGGAGTAAATATAATTTCACCTGCAGTTGCAGTGATAATGCATGGGGAGTTGAGATAATCTCAGAAAAATATTTGAAATGTTGAAATTACTGAAATCAATGATTATTTAGTTATTCAAGGTTGGTGACCAAAATAGCACTTCACCATGTGAACAAGGTTAGATCTCACTGAAGTTTGAAGGAACGCTGAAGTCTGAGAAGTCAGGGAATGGAGGTGAGCACATGTTTACATGGACACTTGGCTCGCATGAGGTTATGGCTTTCTAAACTGTGCTTATTTATTTAAATCACTTTTTAGTACACTGAGCAATACCAGCTTGAAGGGAGATGTAAAGAGAGTAGATAGCTTTGCCAGAATGCTGAAAACGAACAGGGCATCTGTGGTATCATATTTATTCCCTCCTTACAAATACTCATTAAGTACCTACTGCATTCCAGGTATTATTGTGGCTGCATGGGACATATCAGGATCCAAAGAGTCAAAGACCCCTACCCTCATCAGGTCATCATTCTAGTCAAAGGAGATGGACAGTAAATATTAATGACAACATAGTCAATTAGTAATATTTTTACATATTATGAGTAAAAGTATTTTGTTTTGAATATTTTTACTCATAAACTAAAAGAATACTTTTACTCCTAAAAAAGAGAAAGTGAAGGGTGCTAATAAATGGGGAATTATATTTTTGCAACTAAAAAAATGTCTTCAATAGATTATTAACAGAAGACCTCATTAGTAAGAAGGCATTTGAACAAAATTTGAAGGAGTGAAGGTCTGATCCTTGTGGATATCTTGGGGAATTAGTTCCAGGCAAAGAAAGTCAGAACAAAGACACTAAATTCAGATCATGTTTGTTCCCTTCCAGTAAAGTATGCTTGACCAGGTGAGTGAGGGAGAGAGGAGAAGGAGATGAGCTAGAGGATGTGCTAGGCCAGACACTCAGGCGGGCGGCCATTTTGAAGAGCTCTCATTTTGCTTTAAGTGAGCTGGGGAGCTGTGACAAGGCTTTGAACAGAACGGAACCTGTCTATGTTGTTAATGAATTATTGTGACTGTCGTGCTGAGAACTGTTAGAAGCTGGGAAACCATTTAGAAGACTATTACCAAAATCTAGGTGAGTGGGATGGTGGCTCCGATTGGCGTCAGACTCTTTTTACATTATGTGTATTTTACCACAATAAAAAAATGATTAGCAATAAAAAAGTGCTGTAAGAAATTTTACAACACACAGATACATTGAAGCACTGTTAGGAAAAGTATTCAAACAGAGTAAAACCTAAGGGCCGGCCCCGTGGCTGAGCGGTTAAGTTTGTGTGCTCCGCTTTGACAGCCCAGAGTTTCACTGTTTCAGATCCCGGGGGCAGACATGGCACCACTCATCAGGCCACGCTGAGGCGGTGTCCCACATGCCACAACTAGAAGGACCCACAACTAAAATATACAACTACGTACTGGGGGGACATGGGGAGAAAAAGCAGGAAAAAAAAAGAAAGAAAGAAGATTAGCAACAGTTGTTAGCTCAGGTGCCAATCTTAAAAAAAAAAGAGTAAAATCTAAAAGATGCGTTAGTAGAAGCTTGTGCAGGAGGCAGATGGTTCATAAATTTTTATCGATAACCACCTCACGCATAACTGAACTTTGAGTTCCTTAGCTTACTCCACTTTCCTACTTTCAACTCTTTCGCACAGGGTAGTTGTCAGAACTTAAAAGCACCATTCCTGTTTATAGACAATAAAGTTCTAACACACGACACAGAGCCTCACTTACACTTGGAAAATTTTTGACTATGACAGAATAGCCAAAGGGAGAGCAATAAATTTCCCCAATCCGATATGACATAATTTATAGCTTTCTGTAATTTTTCAGGGGGACACAAACCCTTTCTGATAGGTTCTATCTCCTTTGGAGTTAATCTATTTGCTTCAGTAGAACCCACTAACAAGTTCCTGCCCGTACAGCTATGGTTGGAGGGAAACAGCCCAAGGAGGCTACAGGAATCCATAAAACCTCGGGATTAGTTGCTCTGGCAGTGACAATGACTACAGGACATACACAAGCCTGTAGGAGTTCTGTACATCTTCAGGCCACACAGTTACTGGGACATTTATGGATGCTCCTTTGGAAGGGGCTCATCCACTCTGCTTTGCCACAGTGTCCCCCACTTCCAGTATTCCAACCAGTTTCAGTACCAAATACGGTTCCCATCCTGGGCCTTATTAAGTCTTACATCCACGGACCTATAACTACATGATTTCTGACTTCAGGACACATGGCTCCCAGGTAGGTCAGGGGAGGGAGATATCCCCCAGCAAGGCCAGGAATATGCGACACTCTTATGAGTAGAAACGACCCAACTCACTCTGGGGCTAAACACTTGTCAAGGCAACTGTTCCATCCTCAAACTGACTGCAGATCTACAAATAATCATTGCTTCGGGGCACAAAATCTGGGAGAGAAGTCCTATAAACTCTCCCAGGAGACCTCATGCAGCAATGCAAATTGAGCCAAATCTGAACCGAGAGCTGTTCTTTATCCTCCTATCTCCTCTAAAACACAAAGAGAAGGCCCAACAAAACCCCTTCACCCTTTTATTCTGGCAGTCTAATTCTGTTCTCACCCGCAGCATACAGTGAATAGAAGCCCAACAGTAAGTGCAGCTTAAACAAGAAGACTTTCATTATCACAAAAGCCAGCGAGGTGAGCCGGGAGTTCCTGCACTGGTTGACCTGGCGGCTGGAAAAATCCACTATAAACATCACGAGACAATAATGCTTCTTAAGAGAAACCTCTGTCAGTTGCCAGCCCAAGCCAGCTGAAGCCCTCTTGTTCAAAGCTGGGTGACGTCCACACCCAAACCAGTCATGGGGGAGGGAATGAGGCCTTGCCAAAGGGCTCAAATGACTGGTGAATACTCCAGATAAAGTGAGGGGGCACAGCCATCTGCCCTTCCTGACCATTTTATAGACTAAGGTGACACACAGTGTGGCTCCCCTGTGGAGGATAGCTTCTATAATGCCACTGGCAGTGACAGAACTCTGTCAAGGGCCCCACGCAGGTCTGAAAGTGCAAAGCAGTTCACGAAAGCTTCCCACATACCTAGTCTTACTGTGAATCTCCCTAGGGTGGATGTTTGGATAAATGAGGTGTAGTTTCTGGCTGATATCCCCCTCCTAGAAGCTAATCTCCAGAGCTTTGCTTATTTGTCGACAAGGGGACATTGTCCACATTCCTAAGGTCTATCTCCAGTGTGAACTTCCTGGTGCTGAATGAGGACAGGCTAATGGCTGGACTTTCCATCATTCACTGCACTATAGTACCCTTCCCAGTGTGTAGATGTTTTATAAGATTTAAAGGTTCTTTTGATGGTGGTCACAACACAATGCCACTTGAATAGGTGAAAGGCTAGACTCTTTGTAGCTTACACCTAGGAACAGGAGGTCAGGCAGGACCCAACAGGAGGTTGTAGTGAGGGAGAGGGTAATAGCAAGCTGGAGGTGCAGGGGGCAGCTTATGTATGGAAAGCTCAGTTTCCCTAGGGTCCCTGTGGATTGAATAATTCAAATAATTTCTCAGGCACCAGGGCATAGGGGCTGTCTCTAGTTTTCTGGTCCCTGGTCCTGGGGTTGTTAGGACCAGTATGTAGTGGCCCTGAGTGTGAGAGTCCTATAAGGGAGGTGTTTGGGGATGTGGAGTTAATCGGCTACTCCAAAAGGGGAAAGTGACTGGCCTCTTGCCAGGGCTTCAAAACTGAGTTAAGACAGTATTTTTTTTAAAACTACATATCAAAATACTGTGATACTGGCATGACACACACATACTCCAACAGAACAGAATTCAGAGCACAGAAATAAACTCTCACATTTATGGTCAAATGATTTTTGACATGGCTGTAAAGGAGTTCAATAGGGAGAGGACAGTCATTTGAATAAATGACACAGGGAAAACTGGATATCCACATGCAAAAGGAGAAGGTGGACAGCAACTTACACATTATACAAAAATAGACTCAAAATGGGTCGAAGACCTAAACATAAGATCTAAAACTATATAACTCAGAAGAAAACTGGGAGAAATCTTCCTGAAATTGGACTTGGCAATGATTTCCTGGATATAGACCAAACACAAGTAAAAACTGACAAATTGGACTATATCAAGATGAAAAACTTCTGTGCAAAGAAAACAATCAAATGAAAGTGAAAATGCAACATATGGAAAGGGAGAGAATATTTGCAAATCTGATGGGTGTTTATATCCAGAACATATAAGAACTCATACAACTCAAAAATTAAAAAACAAATAACCCAATTAAAAAATGGACTTGAGGGGTCAGCCTGGTGGTGCAGCAATTAAGTTCGCACATTCCACTTTGGCGGCCTGGGGTTTGCCGGTTCAGATCCCGGGTGTGGACATGGCATCGCTCATCAAGCCACACTGTGGCAGGTGTCCCACATATAAAGTAGAGGAAGATGGGCACGGATGTTAGCTCAGGGCCAGTCTTCCTCAGCATAAAGAGGAGGATTGGCAGCAGATGTTAGCTCAGGGCTGATCTTCCTCAAAAAAAAGGAAAAAAAAAAAGGACTTGAGGGCCAGGCCCAGTGGCCTAGTGGTTAAGTTCACTGTGCTCCACTTTGGTGGCCCAGGTTCGGTTCTCAGTTGCAGACCTACACCAGTCTGTCAGCAGCCCTGCTGTGCAGGTGGCCCACATACTAAAAAATAGAGGAAGACTGGCATGGATGTTAGCTCAGGGTGAATCTTCTTCAGCTAAAAACCCCACAAAGGCTTGAACAGATATTTCTCCAAAATGCATATAAAAATGGACAAAAAAACACATGAAAAGATGCTCAATACCACTAATCACTAGAGAAATGAAAATCAAAACCACAATGAGATACACCCCTAGAATAGCTACTATCAAAAAACCAAAGTGTTAGCAAGGATAAAGAAAAAACGGAAACCTCATGCACAGCTGGTGGAATGTATAATGGTGCCACCATTATGGAAGACAGTGCCTCAAAAAATTAAAAATGGCAGGGCTGGCTCAGAGGCACAGCAGTTAAGTTTGTGTGCTCCACTTCGGCGGTGTTGTGTTCACTGGTTAGCATGCCAGGCGTGAACCTATGCATTGCTTATCAAGCCATGCTGTGGCAGGCATCCCACACATAGAGTAGAGGAAGATGGGAACAGATGTTAGCTCAGGGCCAATCTTCCTCAGCAAAAAGAGGAGGATTGGTGGCAAATGTTAGCTCAGGGCTAATCTTCCTCAAAAGAAAAAAGTTACACATGGCAATACATATGATCCAGCAATTCCACATTTTGGGATATACACAAAAAGAATCGAGAGCAAGCTGTCAAAGAAATACTCGTACACTCATGCCCATAGTAGCACTAAACACAATAGCCAAAAGGTAGAAGCAACCCAAGTGTTCACGGGCAGATGAATGGATAAAGAAAAAGTGGCACAAACATACAAGGAAATATGATTCAGCCTTAAAATGGAAGGAAATTCAGACACAAGCTACAACACGGATAAACCTTGAGGATGTTAGCAATATGAAATAAGGCAGTCACAAAAAGATGAAAACTTTGATTCTTCTGTGAGGGACCTAGAGGAGTCAAATTTATGAAGACACAAAATAGAATGGTGGTTGCAAGGGTTAGGGGGAGAATGTTAAGGAAGTTTTACAAGATGAAGAGAATTATGGCTATCCACTGCACAACGAGAACGGACTTAATATTAGTGAACCGTACACTGAAAACGTTAAGAGGGTACATTTTGTGATGTGTATTTTACCACAATTTTTTTAAAAAAACCAAACCTGTATTACAGTAGTTTCCAGTGCTAAGTTAGAACAGATTTTTGGCTGAAATGTTTCTCCATTTGCCAGGTACTCACAAGTTCTTTCCCTGGTGCTGAATGAGGTAGGAGTTTCGGCTAAAGACCCCCACATTCCCTGCACTCACTCCTAAGGCCTTAGCCAGTGTGAACGCTCCGATGTCGAAGTCAGGAGCTGTACTTAAGGGATTTCAAACATTCTCTGCACTCATGATACCCTTACCCAGCATGAATTCTCTAAAGTTTAATGAGGCTGGATTGTACCGAAATAATTCTCCACGTTAGCTGCACTCATAAGGCTTTCCTCCAGTGTGGGTTTTCTGGTGACCACGGGGTGAGACTTTCTAACAAAGGCCTTGCCACATTTGCTCAACTCAAAGCCCTGGCCTAGTGTAAATTCTCTGGTGTTCAACAAGGAAAGATATTTGTATAAAGAATTCCCCCATTCATGGTGCTCACAAAGCCTGTCTTTGGTGTGGATTTTCTGGTGATGAACCAGGTGAGACTTTTTTTTAAAAAAAGGCCTTCCCACATTTATTGTACCATAAAGACTTCTTCCAATATGAACTCATGTCTAATGAGTGTGGAGCTGTAGCTAAAGATTTTCCCATCTTCACTGCAATCATAATTGCTCTTTTCCAGTGAAATTTCTCTGAAGATGAATGAGGTTGGAGTTGTACCTAATTAATTCCCCACATGTACTGTCCTCACCTTTCTCCACTGTGAATTCTCTCATGTCTAATGAGGTTGGATTGGTGCCTAATGGACTTGCCACATTTGCCACACTCCTCAGGCTTTTCCCCAGTGTGGATTTTGTGATGCTGAGGGAGGTGGGATTTTCTGATGAAGGCCTTTTCACATTCCTTGCACTCATACAGCCTTTCTCCAGTGTGGATTCTCCGGTGCTCACCAAGTTTATGTTTGAGAATAAATGCTTTCCTACATTCACTACACACATAAGGCAGTGACCCACATTACAGGGATTAAGCAAAAACGTCATGCCACACCAAAGATCGACAAAGCTGTGAGAACTACAGAGCGGTAGCTGAAACTAGTGCTGATGCCTTAAATTTGGATCACATCTCTCAGTCAAGCTGGATCTAATCAAAAGGGGGGAATTATTAAAGAGAAAATCACAGGTCCAAAATGGTATTACCGTGCTAAAGCCCATGATACCAAACTTAGATTTAATACCTAACCTAATTGCAATTTTGACCTTCCTCAGATGTAAAATCTTAATCAGCCAGTCTGGAATTTTCTGGTGAGTTCCAATGAGGTAATCCGTCCAGTGGGCCCCCTCTATACCCGCAGAGGAAAAAGAGGTAATCTGCATGATAAAACCTATACTGTCATCACTGTCGTGGTGTGTGTCCCGTCCCATGTCCCCCGAACACACACACAAAAAGATGTCCTGGCCAAAAATAACCCCTTATTTTCTTTTGCTAATAATTTCTTTGTCCCAACCTCCTTCCTATAAAAACCTCCCACTTCATGTAATTCCTCAGCGTGTCTCTCAGTTTGCTATCTGAGATGCTGCCCAATTCATGAATCATTGAATAACTCCAATTAGATTTTCAAATTCACTCAGTTGATTTTTTTAACAAACCTTACACTTAAATATGGTTAAGATTGTAAAATTTGTTACATATATTTTACTACAACTAAAAAAAACCCTGCATAACAGTACTTCCCAGGGCTAAATCAGAGCAGAGTTTTCTTTGAAAAAAAGTTTGCACTTCTCTTTGGTGTGAACTTCTTGGTGCCTAATGAGATGCGAGTTTTGGCTAAAGCCTCTCCCACAGCTGATGCACTCATAAGGCTTTTCCCCAGTGTGAATTTGCCAATGTTTACTGAGGCTGGAGTAGTATCTAAAGCCTTTCCCACATTCACTGCACTCGTAAGGCTTTTCTCCAGTATGAACTCTCTGATGAATAATGAGTGTGGACCTGTCCATAAAGAATTTTCCACATTCACTACATTCATAAGTTTTTCCTCTGGTGTGAACATTCTGGTGCCAAATGAGGTGGGAGTTTTGGCTAAAGAGTTTCCCACATTCGTTGCACTCATAAGGCCTTTCTCCAGTATGATTTTTCCGATGTCTAATGTGATTTGAGTTGTACCTAGAGAGTTTCCCACATTCATTGCACTCATAAGGCCTTTCTCCAGTATGAGCTTTCTGATGTCTTTCAAGTGTGGAGCTATACCTAAAGGATTGTCCACATTTGCTGCACTCAAAACACCTTCCCCTGGTGTGAACTCTCTGATGAATAATAAGTGTGGAGCTGTCCATAAAACGTTTCCCACATACACTGCACTCACATGACCTTTCTCCAGTGTGAACTCTCTGATATCTTTTGAGTGTGAAGCTGTACCTAAAGAATTTCCCACATTCGCTGTATTTATATGGCTTTTCCCCAGTGTGAATTCTTTGATGTTTACTAAGGCTGGAGTTGTATCTAAAGACTTTCCCACATTCACTGCATTCATAAGGCTTGCCCCCAGTGTGAACTCTCTGATGAATAATGAGCGTGGACCTGTTCATAAAGAATTTTCCACATTCACTACATTCATAAGTTCTTTCTCTGGTGTGAACCTTTTGGTGCTGAATGAGGTGGGAGTTTTGGCTAAAGAGTCTACCTCATATGCTGCACTCATAAGGCCTTTCTCCAATGTGAGTTTTCTGATGTCTCTCAAGCGTGGGGCTGTACCTAAAGAATTTCGCACATTCGCTGCATTTACATGGATTTTCTCCAGTATGAACTCTCTGATCAATAATGAGTGTGGAGCTGTCATTAATGCCTTTTCCACACTGGTTGCACTCATAAGGCACTGGCCTAGTGTGAATTCTCTGGTTTTCAATAAGGCCAGACATTTGTGTAAAGAATCCTCCACGTTCAAGGTGCTCATAAAGCCTTATTTTATTGTGGCTTTTCTGGTGATGAAGCAGGTGGAACCTTATAATAAAGGTCTTCCCACATTTGCTGTAGGCATAAGGCCTTTCTCCAGTGTGGATTTTCTGGTGTTCAATAAGTATATGTTTGTGGCTAAAGGCTTTCCCACATTTGCCACACTTGTAACCATTTTGTCCATGTTCAAAGGTCTCCCTGCCCTCAGTATCCTTGTGTGGCTTCCTCTCACTGTGAGGGAGCGGGGGCTGGAGAAGGCCTGTGCCGGCTGGAAAGTCCTTCCCACCTTCACTGCACGTGAAGGTCTTCTCTGTCAAGTGAACGCTGCAGTTCTTTACAAATGAAGGCCTCCTCTCATCCCCTCTGGGCAGTTTCCTTCTACTCTGCTCCATTTGGTACTGGGAAAGATTTGCCACATATGTGTACATCTCTTGCTTGGGGTGTGTTCCATTGTGCTCAGCCAGGCACAAAATATCTTTCAAGAGTGTGCCACACATCTCACAAGAATGGGCATTCTGGATGGATGGACCTGGCTTTGGAGTCCTGACCTGTGACACTCCTACAGAAACACCTTGCTCTGAAGGTGCCTCTTCATCCTGAGCGCTCCATGCCAACAATATGTAAACAGAGAAATGCCAGTGAAGGTAGCCCCATCAGAAATGTGTCAATATACCCACAAACAGGTCCACAGGATTGCTGACAGATAGGGGACCAGAGGCAGTGAGAGGAAGGCCTGCTGTGTGGAGCTGGGCCTGGGAAGCTGATGACAGGAGACCCCTGACGATGGGGAAGGACACAAGGAAAGGATACAGTGTGGGGAGGAGAGGCAGGGTCTCACTCCTCTGCAAATATCTTTCAACAAGGCCTGCTGGTGGTGACTGGTGAGTACTGAGTAGAAAATTATGTTCAGACACAGGAATGTCTGATTGTGACATAGTAGCTGGTGTTCAGGGACTATTTAAGGATATGCACAGATGTTACAACACCTTAAGTGAAGGTCAAATGTTGAGAGCACTGCAAAGGGAGCAGTGGATGGGAATGGGTAAGAGTCTGGGCTGGAAGTCAGAGTAGAAATATCAATGGGAAAGAAAAGGTAGAAATGAGGTGTGGCGAATGTCCCTGGCATCACACAATAATGGACAGGGGACAGATGCCCAGTGTGACTGGAACCCAGCTCTGACATCTCACCTTTTCCTGGCTCCCATCACTAGGACCATTCTTTTCAGCCTCTCTTGACAGTGCAGAAGTAATGTCCACCATGTCAGGCACTCCTTATGGGTCAAGGTAAGCAACTACCTGGGCCTGGAAGAGGCTAGTCCTAGGGGAAAGACAGGGAAAGGGAGTGGCCAACATATGCCCAGAGTGACCCACCCCATGACATCCTACATTCTAAAATTATAAGAACTTCAGAGGAGGATCTATTAAAAAAACAACCCAGTGGTCCCCACAAGCAGTGACCAGGTCAGTTCCTGAAATTACTGGCACAGGCAGGCCCCAAAGTATGTCAACACGAGGGAGGAGGAAGGCCTGGGACACGGAGATTCCAAGTATCGGGACAGAATCACCCAACCAGGGACAGGCAAGACCACTGCGATCAGACAAAACTTCAAGATTTCAGACTCCTGTCTTGCAAGGCCTCAGAGCAGCAGGGAAGAGGCTGCTTGGGGAAGAGCGGGTACAGTGCACATGGTCCAGCCCTGGCACCAACAATACACACGCCGGGAAACCAGCAAAGGAAGTGGTACCCATGGTCTCACTGCAGCAAAGAATGGAGCCCAGCCCAGGACACTGTAGCGGATGTGAGGGCCTCACCTATGGATGACAAAAGTGCAAAGTTCTCCAGCATCACATGACAGTACAGGCGTCTCTGAGCCTCATCAAGGAGGTCCCACTCCTCCTGGGAGAAATATATGGCCACGTCCTCAAAGACCACACGGCCCTGTCAAAATGGGGACAGTTCAGCCCACGAGCAGCTTCTTGTTTTGTGTTTCCTTCAAGTCTGTACTTGTCTATTTGCCATCCATCACTTTCAGGGCCCAACCAACCGCCAAATTTGTTTCTATCTCCCCTGTGATCCAGAGTCCATTGTCCGAACCACCTCCTTAACCAAGTCTCACACACCAAATCAACATTTCCCTCGCCCTAAATCAGCCCAGGGCCAGGCACCAGACAACTAGGGACAGCCCTTAAGCCGGAAGACCTGGCAGAATTATACAAACTGGACAATCTTAAGCTCTTCACCTTACTCTCTTCATCTTTTCCAAGGAAACCCCAATGAAAACTCTGGCCTAGGTTTCCCCTCACTCCTTCTTCTGCCTCCTGACCAAATCTGGTGCTCTCTAACGTGAACCTGTGTGACATGGCATTCACAGTACACTCAGGAAATACTGGTCTCTCTGTTTGTCACTTACTCATTCACGTCCATAAATTAAAATCCTGTGGGTACAATCATTCATACACTTCTCCTCTCTGGATCTTCAGTCCACACATCCATGCTTTCCTTACCCTCACCCCCAACTTCCCAAGGTGGAAGGATTACCAGGTCCTGGTGGCACCAGTGCCCGTCTCTCCTTATTCCCACTGACCACTGTGTCCAGCACACAGTAAAAAACCATAGGGGATGGGCCAGCAAAGCACCACTTAGCTCTGGATTGGCATGCAAAGCCCCACCTCTCCTGCCAGCCAATTTCCCTTGGGTCCCCAGATCTTGCCTCCCAGACAACAAAACTCAGTCTTATCATTCTCCCTTAAACGCCCAGTGCCAGGGCCTGGGGCCAACCATGCACGTACCTCCTCACAGGCACATCACTTGTTGGACTCATCTTTCTCATGACTTTGACTCCTCTAAGGTAGCAAATGCACCAAAATCCCCAGGCCCACACCATAGGCATTTCTTTGGCCTTCCAACAGGCTAGTCTGCACATGGAACCCAGGCAGTGCATGACAAATTCAACCAGCACCCTAATCTGCCCTAGTCTTCCCCAGAAAGCCAAAGTTCCCAGGACCAGAGAGCACCAAGCCTTCGTTTGAAGTTCTCCTCACATAACCCAGCTTCTTGCTTTAACTCAGCCACAAAAAACCTAGGTGAGGACGTCAAGGTTTGTCGCCTCTCCTACTTCTTCACTGAGCACGCTGCTTCATAAGCAGTCTTGACCGTCTTTCTCCACCTGACCCTCATTCAAAGCCCCAGACTAGCAAGACTTCTAGCTGATCCCATTTTCCCCTTAACTAACCTACCAGCCTGAATGAAACAATCCAGGCAAGGGTCACCACAAAACCTTGCTGAGTCCATAGAGGTGTAATAAGCCCTGCTCTGACCTCAATGACATCTCACTTTCTTTGTGGAGACACCACAGCATCCATCTCATGTCTACTGTCTCCCTCTCATAGGCACCCCCACCAACAACCACTCTGGTTCCTCAGCTATGTTTGTGACGCTCACCACCAACATCCAGGTGCCCAACTGAGACACAGATTTCGCACCCTCCTTCCTCTACCTTGTCCCTAATGGCACTACCACCATAATATAAGATGCCCTTCTGAAATCTGATCCACAGCTTCACTGGGGTCCACACACCAACCACTATATTGTGGCTGTCTCCAACTTGGACACTTCCACTGAACTCCAGATCTGTAGGTCCAACTGAACACATGCACTCGGAATCTCTGGAACATCTGCGACACGGTCAAAACCTGACTCCCTCCGAAAATTCCTTCTACTACTGACTTCCCACATCCTAATCAATAAAACATCCATTCTTCCAAACAAGGCCAAAAACCTTGGGGCCGTCCCTGATTCTCCACTTCCATCGCATCTCCCAGCTCCCTCACTCTCTACATCAGAAAATGTGGGCAGCTCTGTGCAAAACACATCCAAAAGCCAACCCCTCCTCTCACCTGCACAGCCACCAATCTTGTCCAGCCACCACCAGCACTCACCTCCTCTGGGGCAGTAACTTCCTCACAGGTCACCCTCACTCTCACTGCACCCCCATAGTCTATGCTCCACTCTGTAGCCAGAAGGGGTTTGTTAACATAGGGATCAGATCACATCATTCCTCTGCTCCAAACCTTCCCTAGCTCGCACTGTCCTCGGATTAGAGGCCCAGAACCTAAGACTGTCATTCTCGGCCTGATCTCTGCGTGCCCCAACCTCCTGCCCCACTACAGCACTCCCTAGTTCATCAGATGTAACAGGAATTTGCAGTTTCCTAAACATCCTAATTAAGTCTCACCTGCAAGTATTTGAACACTCTGCGTCCTGTGCACAGGATGCATGTCACATCTTCCCTCGTCAGTTGTCAGAAATGGAACTGATTCCTATAACTCAGGACTCAGTTTAGGACCCTGGGCTTTGTGGGACCACAGAGTCTTCAGAACCAAGAGAGGGAGAAGAATAGGTGAAAAGTCTCAGAACATCACCATTCCCTAGACTGGGGTGCCTAAACCATCGTAACTGGGGTGGGTGAGAGCCTGGGATACCCTCTACTCATCTGTGCAGGGCCCATAACCATTTCTGCTACCACCATAGGACCCTGTGGGAAGAGGGAGACATGAGAAATCGGCAACCATGGAAGGATCCTACAAGCTTGGCTGTGCCACCACCCCTGCCTTGCGCTGGAGCAAAGTGATCTCAGCCTGATGGTCAAAACGGAGCTCCTCAGACCTCACCGCTGCCTCTTACTACCTGTGTGACTCTGGAGAAGAACTGAACCTCCCTGAGCCTCTGTGCCCTCATGTGTAAAATGGGAACAAGAATAGTTTCAACTCATGGGGCCAACAGTGATATCAAACATAAGTAAATCACACTATGTATCAGCTGTTACTGTCCACAGAATCAACGATTTTGTGTATGTTTTCAGTACAAATGAAGTGGTAGGGTTTTGAAAATTTGGGTGTGTATTTTTCCCACTTTTTAAGGTCTTAAGAGGATGTGATACACAAAACTTTACATTGTAAGCAAATACAAGTAAATAAATTTCAATTATGAAGTGTCTGGATAAATATAACTAATTCAATATGTTCATTTCTAATTGTCTGCCTATGCGTACATATTTAGAGAGATGTTGGTTCAACAGTGTTTAAATCAATGACTGTTTCATATATGCTTAAGTTAATGAGTCACAGGGAGGCAGTGAGCAGGCAGGTCGGCTACTATCCTTTCAGCAACCAGCCCACCTGCATCATAATCCTCTGAAGGGAGCTTGCAGGTAGCCCTTGACGGCACAGTGGATCGATCATCCGTCTTGCTCTGAGGGCTGGAGGTAAGACAGCAGTGTCCTGATCTGGGACCCAGCTGTTCCACTAACCTGGTTGACCTTTGCTTTGTTCCAGAGGGAGTAGTCTTGAGGGTCTGTTTAGTCTATGGGGGGAGAATCTACACTAATTCACACCTCAATCTCCAACCCAGGTCAGCTCCTTATCCCATCTGGACCTCCCTTTCTACAAACACAGGCCAGAATTCATCCTACACCAGGACTGCTCCTCTCTGAAGGAGTATCAGGGATGCATATGCACCTGTGCACTGCCCTCTAGTCTCAGGCCTCCCCTACCTCACCACAGAGCCCATCTGAAACAACCTGAAGATTCTCCCTTTCTTCAGTCTTTAGGCTGTGACCTGATCCAGGCCACACTTTCTACCCTTTTGAAAGCTCCAGACCAGCCACCTCCTCCTGACTCCAGACTTTTATATCCATCTACCCATGTGATGTCTCCATCTTCCGACATCTCCATCTTGAAACATCTCAGAATCACCAAGTCCAGGGGCCCACCAGGTGGCTGAGTGGTTAAGTTCACTCTGCTTTGGCGGCCCAGGGTTTTGCTGGTTAGGATCCTGGCCACAGACCTAGCACCGCTCATCAAGCCATGCTGAGGCGGCGTCCCACATAGCAGAGGCAGAAAGACCTACATCTAGAATATACAACTATGTACTGGGGGGCTTTGGGGAGAAGGAGGAAAAAAAGACGACGACAACAACGACGAAGAAGATTGGCAACTGAGCTAACCATCTGTTGCCAATCTTAAAAAAAAAATCACCAAGTCCAAATACAACTCATAATCTTCTCCCTGAATCCCATTCACTACGCTAATGTCCTCATCTCCATTCCTTAAATGTTCAGGTAAAAAAACTTGGGATGGTCTTTCACTCTCTACTTTTGCTCACAGTCATATTTGACGCAGCAAGAAATTCTGTCAACTCTATCTTTATGATCTATCCAAAATCTTATCACATCTCTCCTCTACTGCCACCACTCTGGTCCAGCCCCTACCATAATTCTCTGGGAGTCTGTTGCCGTGTCCACCTCACTGGTCTCCCTGCCTCCATTTCCCATTCACTTTTTAACAACTGTAAACTTCAAATCTGGATCTACCTCTAAATTAAGTTCCTGGACCCAATCCCAATGTGTGCACGGGAGGAGCTGCCAACATACCACCAAGCAATTCTGAGACACCAGCAAAGTGTGCAAGAATTCAACTCACTTCTGACACTGTCTACTGGAGATAGCACCCGATTCCACAGGTTAAGGGTTCAGTCCTACAAGACTGTCCTCTCCCCGACTTCAGGCGCCGGTCACAAGCCCAAGCGGTTACTTGTGCTTCTGACCCACAGCCTAAGGGTGGAGGTTCCAACGACGCCCTTCTTAGCAACCCAATTCAGACGCCAGTCGCAAGCCCAGGTTGTTACCTATACTTTCGACCAACCGGCTAAATATCAACAGTTCTCAAGATCCCCTCCTCAGGTTCGATTAATCTGCCAGAGCCGCTCAAGAACTCAGAGAAACATTCCACCTACTAGAGTACCGGTTTATTATAAAAGAACTGAACTCAAGAAACAGCTAGATGAAGAGATGTGTAGGGCAAAGTCGGGCACAAGGCGTGGAGCTTCCACGCGCTCTCCAGGCTGCCACTCTCCCCAACCTTCCACCCGTTCACCAACAGGGAAGCTCTCCGAAGCCTGTCCTTTGGGTTTTTATGCAAGCCTGCCACCACTGATTCAACCACCGGCCCCTCTTCCCAAATCAGGAAGTGAGGTGGGGGCAACAGAAAGTTCCAACCTTCTAATCACCGGACTTTCCAAAAGGCATTTTTTCTTTATCATTCTATCATGTGTCGGGACTCACAGGCGCCTCTGCGCAGCCGGGAGAACGTCTCTTCTCGAACTTTCCCGCTCCCGTCTCCTTGGTCCTGACTCACAGATTCACGGGCCTGGGACCCGAAAACAGACCAAAGTGCCACCGAACTGCCACCACACAGAGGGCGCCGCCGGAAATACCGCCCCCACCTGCGCGTCAGCTCGTAATCGGCTCCATGCTAAGCTTTCATTGGCTCAGCTCGCCGCCATCGCTTGCCGCGGAGCCTTCTGGGTAATGTAGTTCCCTCCTGCTGCCCACTGCATCTGGGAGCGAAGGTCCTTCCTGGCTTTGTGGATTAAGCCCCAGGGACAATGTGAGAGGCGCTGGGAAATGCAGTTCTCAGAGTCCTAGGATGCTGCGGGGCTTCGCTGGCTGTTAAAGGGGACGTACCTAGATTTCCCTGGAGTGCAGTCTAGGTCAAGTGCCAGAAATAAAGATCTGTTTTCACAGACTGAAGCACGGGAAATTCCCAAAGGCTACACAACTGAATGAACGCACCATACCATAATGACACTTGGCGTCCACTCATAGCTGTCAGCTATCTCATTGCTTGTCAAATACATGTAGACTGAAGTTTTGGAGCCTTTTTTATGACCTTCAGTATGCTTGGTCAGGCACAAGAAAGAAAAGCCCCCAGACAGGGCATGTGGGGGAGTTGGAAGAGGACTATCTTTCCTGCCTGGATAGTCGATGATTGTGTTCCAGTCCAGTAAGCAACACTTTTATTGAGATAATATTTATTACACCATATCTGAGATATTTTCCAAAGTAAATGGAATACAGACAGTAACTACAAAGAATTTTATAAACAAATACTGTAAAACAAGGAACTGTTAAGGGAGAGGCAAACTACCAGGGAAGTATGATTAAGAAAGAGGTATGAAACATAGTTATAATTTCTCTCAGATACACAACAAATAATTTTTATAATCAGTATGTCCCATGCAATATTTTTCTATCTCCGTGTGCATATGCATAGGGAATAAAAAATAATTCAAATTTTACTGGGCCAGATATTATTTACTAAATCTCACAAGGCTACTTTTCAACATTTTTATATCTAATAACCCACTCACGTAATTTCTGCTACTCATCCTCTCAATGGTAAGTTCTGCTTGTTGGGAGGCCTTTGTTCTTATTTTATTTTATTTTTTTAAAGGTTGGCACCTAAGCTAACAACTGTTGCCAATCTTTTTTTTTTTTTTTCCTCCTTCTTCTCCCCAAAGCCTCCCAGTACATAGTTGTACATTCTAGTTGTGAGTGTCTCTGGTTGCGCTCTGTGGGACGCCACCTCACTGTGGCCTGATGAGTGGTGCCATGTCCACGCTGAGGATCCAAACTGGCGAAACCCGGGGCCACCAAAGGGAGCACGCGAACTTAACCACTCAGCCATGGAGCCAGCCGGGAGGCCTTTGTTCTTAAGGGAGAAAGCTTCTACCAGAAGAAAAATATTATTAAACCTGAAATGGAACATGAGACAGCTATGGTCGACTTGGCTCCTCGTGCCACTTAGGAAAAAAGAGAAATTCTCTGCTGCCTCGGGTGATTCTGATTACTCTTTATTACCAAGAGGAAGTTAAGTTGCTGCTCATGGTGGGAAGCCTGGAGCACTAGGTCTGGAATTGGGGGATTCTCTGGGGAACATGTTAGTAAGCTCATGTCCAAAAATAAACCTGCAGCAACACAATGAAGGCAGGACCCCTTGGAGTGTGAGACCCCCCTGATTTTGAATTTTTGGTTCACCCACCAGATTAAAAAAACAAAAACAAAAAACCTCTGCCAAGCTGAAAGTCGGGCAGAGGCAAAGGGGTAGGATGGGTTATGGAAAATGAATGGAAACTAAACTAATGTTCAACATGTGACCTTAAGAAAACAAGAAATCTCACTACTGTGGATATTTTCTTCCTTGTTTAGGTGTGAGAGACTGACGATACAAATAGACAATGGCCACACGAAATTTAAACTAGAACTCTCACAATCTGCACCAACTTACCCAAATAGCCAACACAATATCTACAGTAACAAGTTTGAGAATTCAGGTTGCTATCTCCAGCAACCACACCAGGAAGCCAAACAATAACCTACGTGACAGTTGGCACAAAACATCCAGGACTTGATTAATAACTGACAGCTTCCCTAATTTTGCCCACATTTCCAATTTAAGGCCAACTGGAGAAAGACAAATATGCACCACTAACCAATCACTTAGGATTCCCACTTCTACCTAACCCCACTGAGCTTCCACATGACGACAGCCTCCAATCAGGGCACACCAGATACCATGACTTTTATCCACTATAAAGCTCTTCCACTTCTCTGCCCACCTTTGAGTCTTATCCAAATGCATGTGATGGTGCCTGACTCCCTTGCTGTAGAGCAAGCTCTGAAGAAATAGGCTTTGCTCATTCTCATTTGAGTATTCTCTTATTTCCGCAGTTATCTACATTTGAAATCCAGTAATGCCACTATTGATCATGTTTCTCATTATGAAGTTTCCATGGACAAACGAATGATATGTTGGATGTGACCACCACAATGTATCATACTTATCAGAGAGCTCCCACTGAGCTGTGATCTTCACTGTTCCTCACTTGTGGACCCCAGATTTCATCCAGGCGCGCTGCCCTCAGGGGTCTCGTGTGCCTTTCTGCTCACAGCTTGCTACGATGTGGTGAGTCATCACCAGGTCTGAACGCTGCTCTATTTACCAACAAAAGTTCCTTGGCTATTTGTTCTCAATTTGATCCCTGGTTTGTTTGTTTGTGGCTCCCATTAGCTTCACATACTGGTTGAAATCAGGTCATTCCTTTCCATTGCTTTTTTGCTGTCTTTTGAAGAACAGTTTTATGCCATGTTGTTTGTCATAAGGAAGAGAATGAGAGGGTAGAACACAGGCATGAGCCCTAGAGACTGTTGTTTACGCCAGCCTCGCAGTCTGTGGGGTCACTACCAGCAAAACTGCAGGAGGTTCCCCTCCCTCCCTTCCTTCCTCTTCTTTTCTCTCTCTCTTTTTTTCTCCATTTTTTGTCCTGAGAACTCAGCACTGATCCCAAGAGAGCATTCTCTAAGGTTTATCACCTGCCAGGGGGCACAGATTGTTGGGTCTGAGTTTGGAGGTGGCCACCCATTAGATTTGGGGGCCCAGGCCAAAGGTACACAAGTATTACCTTTCTACTGACCATTGCCAGCTTTCGTGAGGTCGTCTAAGTCTAAATCCTCTCCTCTTCCAGGTAAAACTCCTGAATCTTATATGCTCTCTCATTACTATCATAATTCTTGTGCCTATATTTCTAAATGGCATAACTACACCAAGAATGATTTGGGCCTCAGTGGCCACTCTGAGGAACATTTCGGTTGAAAAAAAAAAGTTGGGGCTGGCCCAGTGGCATAAGGGTTAAGTTTGCACACTCCACTTTGGTGGCCTGGGGTTCACGAGTTCAGATCCTGGGCATGGACCTACACACTGCTCATCAAGCCATGCTGTGGCGGCATCCCACATAGAAGAACTAGAAGGACTTACAACTAAGATATACAACCATGTACTGGGGTTTTGGAGAGAAAAAAAGAGGAAGATTGGCAACAGATGTTAGCTCAGGGCCA